TTACGCTCATTGTACATATTTTGCGCAGCTTCGCAATTTTCCTAGGTAGTGCCTTTACGCTCAAGTGGCTTCGCCCGTGTTGCTAGCTGCCGCATCCGTCGTTCTGCTCGTTTGCCTGCTTTCTTGTTGTTCTCGCCTGTCTCTCGCTTGGAATACCGATCAGCTCTTTCCAGCATCCCCTGGAACAAAAGGCCTCAATTGGGGCGCTTTGGCAAATTGCGAATTTCGCCCTACGAATTTTACGAGAGCTTATCGCGCGATCTGCTTTTGAAGCGTCTGAAAGTACATTTTCACGGAGTTTCGGTAATTATTCATTTTTAGGCCGGTAAAACCGAAGAAAATGCTGGTGCTTCGCGACAAACACGTTAAAATTCACGCCGATCATGTCACTGCTGGAGAAAAGATCAGTGGTAAGTGGTTATTTCTGTCTCGGAGATCAATGGGTACAAGCGTACAAGTAGTCCGGTGAAGTGGTGCTATCCAGGCCGTTGTAGGAGTCCCAACCCCGCTCAGTCTCCTGGGGCTCGCGCGAACAGCGCCGTACACACAGAGCGAACTAGTCAGTGTGGTGAAACACACATCGCAACAGCAGTGTCGAGGCGGTGTGACAACTAGAAAGACCCGAAACTTGGGAAACTATACCAAGCGTGCGGGTACTGTAGCAGCGATTCCTCGGACTGTGAAACATTTCTTGCACATAAGCACTAATGGTCCTGCTTGCTGCGGACGCTGGGACATACCAGAGGGCTGGGTTTGACGCATTCTGTTCTTCTTCAATAGTGGGAGCTGGAAATGCAACCACAACTGGTGGAAAAGTGGCTGGCGCCGCGCTGAACACAATGTGAAATGCTCTAGCGTCCGCAGCGAACAAGACCCGTAATTGGTGCCGCATAAACAGGTTCATGAGAACGGAAACTCTCGACCAAAATTTTGCCGGATTTTAGAGTTCTTTTCTATCGTCCGGTTACTGTTCCGAAATCCGATCTACGTTGGAGCAATGCTTGGGCGAATCGTAGACGTCCTGGCATTCAAGGGGTAGGTTCAGTACTGATGTTTGAGTAATGTTAAAATCCTTTTTTTGATAATGTTTTTTCACATCATTTTTTCTTTCTTTCTCACACCACAGAGTGCATTCTCGAAAACAATCGCTTCTGCACCTTTATGAAAAGTTTGCTTCCAAAAGTTCTGCTGAAAACAGTACTGCTTTTAGGTTCTTCGTGTTCCTCGGCAAATACCTGGAAATCCAATTCGGTGTGCCGCAGTATAAGATTCAAAAATACCTAGGTAAGCTTATCGACAGACTGTTTCAATCAGCTCTTTCTATCGCAGGCTCACCATCTCTAAAATGCGTGTATTCATTTGTCCATCCCTACTTCCTGCAATGATAACAAGAAGGGGAGGAGAATCAAAGCGATGAGCTCAGCTCAACTCATACGAGCTCACAATGTCTAAGAGGTAGGGTGCGAGTTAGGGGAGAGGGTTGGCGCAGCGCCAGCTTGTTCTCCACAATTTGCTCAAGGGGCGAGCGACAACAACTGGTAGAAATCGGGCACGTGCCGCGCTGAAATCAGCCCTTTCCGTGTGGCGGCCATAGCATCTGCGAGGAAGTCTGTATTGCCCATGACGTGGTTTTGTGGCGCTCTCTGAGCGATTCCTCATTTGAAATTCTTCTGTTTCTCAATGTTTAGTATCAACACAAATCTGCGCGCTACTCACTTTAATTTGATTATTTATTGATGAGTTATGTCAGCTGGCTTGACCTCCAGTGGGGACCACAGCTCTTCCATAACGCAATTTCTGGCGACTTGCATCCAATGTGGTGAACCACGTTCTCTGAAATATTTCAAAAACGTCCAGTCCTTACAAGGGAATGGTTTGAACTTCCCATGGAACTTTGAATGGAGACCTAGGTACATCGATAGAGCCTCGAATGCTGATTACGAATATGCAGATTAAAAGTGCTACGGGACCTCCCAGACGAGATCTGGGTGGTCAAAGTTTGAGTTCTGGCTCGTAAGCGCTGCTGATCGATTTGCTTTCTGCAGTGCCACCGTGGCCTCGTGGTAATGGTCTCGCTTTCAAGTCAAACGCATGCGGGTTTGCATCCGGTTGGCGCAAAAATTTTTGCTTCGCTCCCTTTAAGAGCTTCAACTCCAATTTTCGAAATTCTTCCCAATTTATGGCCTAGCAGGGCAAGTAGGTCAAGTACTTTAAGTATATGACGTATTGATCTAGTATGGATTTGGATCATATCTGCCCTCTCTGAACATATTACCCATCCGACAATTCAAAGTTTTGCCCAGAATCGCAATTTGGCCAGACGAGCGTTTTTTCGTCGAAGGATATTCGTGCTTCAGGAAGTCGGAAATCTCATGAACGAATTTCTCGCTAAAACTTTGAATTGTCGGATGGGTAATATGTTCAGAGAGGGCAGATATGACCACATCCATACTAGATCGAGTACGTCGTATACTTGATGTACTTGAATCTACTTTGTCCTGCTGGGCCGTAAATTCGAAGAATTTTCGAAATTTAGAAGTTGAAAACTTTCGCGCCAACCGGATGCAAACCCGCATGCGTTTGACTTGAAAGCGAGACCATTACCACGAGGCCACGGTGGCACTGCCGAGGCATCGATCAGCAGCGCTTACGAGCCAGACTCAAACTTTGACCACCCAGATCTCGTCTGGGAGGTCCCCGTAGCACTTTTAATCTGCATATTCGTAATCAGCATTCGAGGCTATCGATGTACCTAGGTCTCCATTCAAAGTTCCATGGGAAGTTCAAACCATTCCCTTGTTAGGTCATGTTGCTCCGTAGACCTTGTTGCCATTGCTTCACAGACATCCTCCAGTGCAGCGATGCCGTAGTTTGCATTGCCTTTTGGTGAGTTGTTGTTTTCAAGCAGGTTTCGGTGCGCCGTACACATCCTGGTAGCACCGTTGACGTCGAATATCGATCTTAGGTTAGCTGCTTAATTTGCCTCATTACTTCACGAAAATTGTTCCAAAAGCTGCCCATGCTGCACGCCTCCTGCGGCTTATTTCAGGAGAGATGTTGTTCAGCATGTTTAGCTCTCTTCCCAGATACACGTAGGAATCCACTCTTTCGAGAGCAACTCCTGCCAATTTCACAGTTCCCGCGTCACACCAGTGGTTCACTACCATTTTCGTTTTGGACATACTCATTTTCAAGCCAATCTTCTGGCCAATCATGTCGAGCTCGTTTACCATATCTTCCATTTCGACGTGTTATTATCGGATATCAAACGAACGGAGGTTGCTTAGTCCTTTCACGTCAATCAAGTAACCCTTTTGTAATTCAGTTGAGGTTTGACAGTCGGCATACCTGTATTTGCTGCCGTGAACAACTTCGGGGATATGGTGTCCCCTGCCGTACCCTTTTCTCAATGGGTATTTTTACCTTGCGCTCGAATAGTTGAAGGGTTGTTGATGTGTTCGATAAACCCTGTTTGAGCAGGCGAATGTAGGCAGAGGATACTCCGGGTCGCACAGGCGCGTTGAGAACAGCATTAAGCTCCACTGAGTTCGAAGCTTTCATATAGTCCAAAGACGAGGCAAAGTGCGAAGAAAGTACTGCGCGCTCCTCTCTATCGAGCGCGCTATTAACTGGCCTGTATGTTTGTCCAAACAGGAGAGATCTATGGTGCTTAGCGGTGCCTTGCTCTGGTGGCTGATAGTCGTCCAAGATGCGTTTCCATGCGACCTTCATTGAGCAGTATTTTCATGAAAGACTTATATATCGTCGAGAGCAGACTGATAGGCCGGTAGTTGGCAATCTCCTCCCTCTGGCCTTTCTTGAACAGAAGGACTGTTCTCGATTCTCTCTACTGTTCTGGAATCATTCCTAATTGCAGGTAATGACTGAAGTGCTCAGCGAGAAGTGTATGAAGGGACTTTCCTCCTTCACGAAGGAAGATCGGCAGATATGCCATCGTGACCAGGAGCCAGCCCATTTCTTCATCTTTTCTTTATGCATCTTGCAACTTCGATTTCAAAGCAGAGAGGGGTCTGCAGCAGGCGGTACAAAAGCATCTAGGGACATTTGTGGAAGAGCGGAAATGCTTCGTGTAGAATTCACTAACGATGTCCTCGATAGATCTTTTAGATGTTTGTATTCTTCGATCCTTGTCTATGGGAGCTAAAAATGACATTCTTTGATCCATTCAACTCTCATTTGCAGCGCTTTAGCTCCGATTGTTTCTGCCGCGCCGCCTTCAACAGCCTGATTTCTGGAGCTCATGGGTGATTCTCTACCGGCAAACCGGCATGCCTTTTTGACTTTTCCAAGTGCGTGGCATTGGGGGTCCATTTTCATAGCCCTCCTTTTTTCCAACAAAGTAGTTGCGACAGCATTGAGCCTTGGATTGGAATTTGATCGTGCGAGACGTGAAAGCTCTGCGCACTTGGACAGACCTTCAAAAAGATATTTGTAGTCTTCTGATGAGTCGTCCAGCGAATTCCAGCAATGAACCTCAATGCAAACTTCCAATTGCTCACTGTGCTAGGAGGGAGTTCTCGAGAGTAAGGGCCTATGCCTGTCGCGCTTGAATAATTTCTTCTTGAGACATACTTTGGCACGTATCAAACGGTGGTCTGAGCCAGTATCGAATGACGGCAGCACTGATACGTCGAATAGGGCTCCACCGTCGATTGGTCAAGGATGTGATCAATTATCCGTGTCGTTTCTCCATTTGGACTTTCCCAGGTCCATCGCCGTCCAGTCGGCTTCTCGAAAATAGAGTTTCCATGATAAAGGCGACATGCAGACAGCAAGTCAAGCAGCCTTTCTCCATTCTCATTTCGACTGTTCGTTCCGTAGGGCCGAGTCGCCAATCGCGTTGTGGTCTCATGCCTTATAGGGAATTGAAGGGCCCAACACAACATTTTGTAGTAACTTCTCTCATTCTGAACCGTATCTTCTAGAAGCTGGTAAAATTCTTCGCGTTCTTCGTCAGTGGCGACGGAGGAGGGCGCATATCCGTTGATAATGGATATGGTACCTTGACTTTTGGTCACAAGAGGTAGAGCGATGCGTGGACTAACGATTTTGTGAGAAGAAAAAAACGACTACGGGACCACTGCTGGTTACAGAGAAATACCAACTCCGCAGACAAATTACATTGAATACATACACTTACTCACAGACAGAATAAAGCAGCTCAGTTGTAGATACAAGAATAATACATACACTAAGGATTATTACCGTTCATAGAACAATATCAACTATGAAATGATTTGTTTTATAGCGACAACATCGTACTTGATTGACGAACTGCAGCAAAAAGTTGTTCGAAGATCAGCATACTGATGCATAGTCGACAATTATACGAGTAGTGCGAAAGCAGTTCTTTGTCGTCGTTAGTTGAGGGAGTTTTCCGGCGCGTTCGCGCATTATTTTGATGACGTTTTGTTTCACGACTGCGAGATTAGATGGCACTTCGTCCTGCAACTCCTGACGTCCTAGCAGGCTACCGATGTACGCAGGATTGGAGCGCTATTGAAGCTATTTGAGCGGAAATAATGGCTAATAGGTTACTCCCTTGTTCCTTGCTAGGGATACAAGAAAGCCGCCCATACACACATTACTGTGCGTACTGCGTAGCCGTTTGTACCGTTGGCCACCATTAGTGGTGTACACCCTATCACCGCGGTGAGGTGGTACATGATAGGGATCTGCGCAGTATAGATCATATTAATCACCCGAAAATAAACGGAAAAAAAACTTAATTTCTCCCTTCTTTCTGGTATGAGATCGGCGCCTTGATAATATGCAAATATAATGGATAATAGCTAAACCGGAGCTGTCCAGATACAGAATAAACACGATGTTTTTTTCGTTTCCAGCCGGTACCGGCGTTGTCGGGTTCGCATGTGGAGTCATCATTGGAAGCGTGATAATGAGGAAGTTCCACTTACAGGGTGAGTCAATCACTTTTGGCATTGAACAGGTACACTTGAAAATAGATTCAATGAATACTCGTTAAGGCAGGAAAGCTGCAGGGTGGGTTGCAGCCTGCTCACTCATGGCTGCATTAATTTCATTCGCAAACGGTGCTGTCGGATGCAAGTCTGTCATTGGACAAATCGGAGATCAGGGAGTGTGAGCGAGCTGAATCCTCCCAAATGCTACTTCATGAGAATCGCGCGATTGTGTTTCAGAGCTAACAACTTCTCGTTTCCCTCATGCCGGGAAGATTGTGTCTGTGATGGTATGCCGTTCTATCCCGTCTGCAACACCAAGTGGGTTCCATATTGATGAAAATCTCTTGAGCCTACCTTTCTCAGAGAAAGCTGAAATCTTCACGTTTACAGGGGTGACGTATTCTATTCGCCTTGCCAGGCTGGCTGTCCTTTGAGCGGGG